AGGGGCATGTTTCTCTCTCTCTCTCTCTCTCTCTCTCTCTCTCTCTCTCTCTCTCTCTCTCTCTCTCTCTCTCTCGAGGAAATTGTGATCTTCTTCGACTGTATGGCGAGATCCGGCGCCGACCTACCGTCGAATAGCGGGGTTTCCCTCAACCAGGTATTTCCCATCACGGGGCACCGCCCCAGACGGGACAAGTTCTAAGCTCCTGACCGGTCTCCCGGCATGTGTGGTAGTGTGGTGCATCTAAGTGTAAATGTATGTACGTAAAGGGTGAGGATAGAGCAGAAAGAGGAAGGAAATATCGCGCGCTGTCCGCCGGTGCTGATGAGAGATATCACGGAAAACTACCAATCAGAGCAGCCGGCCTCTAGAATTCTCTTCGAGAGAGAGCCTGAATTCGACCTAGCTGAAAAGCTAGGGCCGAAAATCTAGCCATCTAGCCGCTATCGGGACTCGAACATAGGACCTGGTCAGATGCACTGCAGTGACATCAGTTGGTGCATTGAGCTACCTCTCCCGGTCGCGGATTGGAGGTAATTCAAATCCGTCGGTGAATATCAATTATGATGATTATCAATTAAGCTTCTTGCGGTTTAGGCGATAGTGGTGTTCACCAACGGACATGTTTTTTGGTATCAGATACACCCAAAACCTGTATTTCGTCAAAATCTGGACACTGATTCATTGTAACCTTGGTGTATACACGAGAAAGTAAATGCGATATTGCTTTGACATTCTCATTTCGTCTTTTGGAATTATGTTCACTTTCCCTGAATCTTATTTTCTTTGCCTGTAGCATTGTTCTTTTGGGTAATTTTGGTTGAGGTTCGTGAAGGCATAAAGTGCGAGATCACTGTATCGTTTAGTAGTACATGAATATGCGAAACTCTTAACAGTTAAGACAAATAATGTAACTATCATTACGAATATGGGTTCATTTTAGTGAGTTAATCAGAATATCAACAAAAGTAATGTTTTCACCGTGACAATGCACATTTTTTAAACATTTTCCGTATCATGGTGATCAACGAAATGAAGAAAAATTAATTCATCGTGACGATTCGTTTCCTTTCTACTCAAAAATCGAGCGAACATTCGCGTGGAAGACAAGAAGCTTTGATTTGATACCTTATGATTCATATGATAAGTCTGTGATCTTGAATGAAATCCAGTATCTGATAACTAGGACCGTATATAAATGAGTATGTGCTTTCGATATCTCTTAGATTATTATGATTTTGTAATTCACTAAAAAACAAAAAAAAGTTTCACAAAACGTCTTATTTTGTTTCAAGGACTCTGATGATAATGTTAGCACAATAATTTGATTATTTTACTCCTTATCAATGTGCGAACTTCCGTTTTCTTAGCGATAATACTTAATATAGCGTGAATTACGTCTAATCATGCTGACACGAACTTCAATAGAATTGCAGATATACATATAGTTTAGATTACATATAATTTATGATTGCTAATTCACAATGTATATCCAAATTACCTGAACCCCTCAAAATTATTAGGTCCAGTTTTAATATCCATGACTAAATCTAATAAAAACTAATTAAAAATGAAGCCATTGTCATAAAGGCATCTTTAATCTATATTATTTTTTATTTTTATTTTATTTTCTAATCAAACCACTTACGCGTATGCTCCCATCAAAAATACGATAGCAATTGTCCACAAACTCTTCGCTGACTCTATAATGCCGAGGTGTAAATTACTATTTGTTGAAAGTAGATTTGGTTGAGCTTTAATTCGTGGTATTACTGTATTAAATAGAACATAATGCAGTTTTTATTAGAATTTTGAATACAGTATTTGAGAAACATGGAGGGTCTTATTTGTGATGAGACGGGATGTGCGATGCTCAAGTGACGGCGGCGTTGGCACATAGACAGAACATCATGCTAACAGTCATTAAAATGTGTTTCCTTATGTAACGGAGTAGGAGCATACATTTTCAGTACATTTATTTAAATTACCTAGCAGGCGTAGCCCCTCCCGGAAGAATATTTACAAAGTCTTTCTGGAAAATTCGAGTACGATTTTGACATTGTAGCAAGCGTGACGGAAAATATTTCTTAAAATTAATGGATTGCTTTGGATCTGATTTTACAATCCGCATTTAAAATTTCAGAAATTACAAATCAGTTTTTCTTTCTCATAAGTTATAATTTTAACTATTGTAGTATTACAGTATTCTTATAGATTCAGAGATGCTCATAAAACTCGTATGTATATTGTGATTTAATGCATGTATTGTGAAGAAATCGGGAACTATGAAAGTAAGACATTTCGAGCACGTGGTCAATAACTGAGAAAAAGTAACATTGTTTTCAAATTCTTTAAAATTCATAACGTGACTTTTCAGCTTTGATATAACTCGTTGCGCGAACAAATGATTCACTACGTATTCTCGATGAAAACCTTATAAAGTATTCAGCCTGGTTAATTTGTTGATATTCAGTTAAAGTCCGGGGTAAGCACCAGTGGTGTAGCTGTAGCTTCTCTTTTGACGAGGTAGTCTTAGTAATTTTTCGCTGGTTGGTGAGACACCCATCACTTATTGGTGTTTGGCAGGTCACGTTCTGTCGCAGTCGAAGTGATTTCGTATCCTAGAGGCCATATTTGTTTATTTTTTTATCCTGACACATAATCATGATATTCCTTTTAAAAGTAACCATACGAAACTTCGCTTACAAACAAATATTTTGCGATAAACACGAAAGTAGGCTAAGTTATATAGGCTAGAAGTATCTCCGTCATGACTCCGAAAACTATAGTTTTGGTCCATCACGTCTAGTTATTGCGAAAAACTGTTTCATTTAGTGTAGATGAATTGTCGTATCGACAGTATGTAATGCAAAGCCATCGTCTAATAATCACACTAGAATACTCACGAAATACTTAAATGTAATAGATTCTTTATTGATGTTGGCCAAGGCTCCTTCTCCACAAAGATTCATTCACCATCCAGAGTGTTGTACAGATTGGGGATTAGGCGCGGCAAGACATCAGAGTTGATAGTGTCTTTTTAAGGAACTCCAGTTCTCTCACTGAGTGTATTATCAGCGGGCCTGCAAGTAAACATCAGTGTGGAAGTGTTGTAAGTGCGTTGGGTACGCTTGGCATGAGCGTCGAGTTTGAGTAGAAGAAATTTTGATGTTGTAGCGTCACGTTGGCTGCCCTGCGGCTGGAGAGCAGACGCGAGGAGGCCCGCATACCAAAGAGCTGAGTAGCGTAGGGCGGCCACGGCGCAGGGGGTGCAGATATTTTTAGAACCAGATTGCCGCCGACTTGCTCTTTGAGCAACTAGGGTATCACGTGGTAGAAGGCAAACCTTGCTCCCGCGCTCAACGGTGACTACTATTCCTTTACCTTAAGAACAAACCTGATGTAAACAAACTGAAGAAATCTTTGCTACGCTTCAGATTGGACATTTTCTAGCGCTCTACTTTCGATACGAGTAGCATATCCCACCAATGCAAATGGAATAAGAGTTGTCATGCAAGTGGTATGTTCATGCAAGTGGTATGTTCATGCAACTACTTCACTTACGATCACTTACGATCAGTCTGCCTCAGGAAGCAGTTGTCAATAACCGGACGTCAATTATTTGTATAAATTGTTTGCCCTGTACTCCGGGAGTTCCTGATCACAATTCACAAGCTGCAACAATTTCACAAGCGTTGGCATTTCGTTTCTTCTTTTGCTTGTGATACAAGGAATGTACTTTTAATCGAACAGCACTGATTACAAAGTCATCGTAGGCTTCAATATCAGTTTCTTCCCAATCTTTCTTTCTTTGTAGTGTTCCCTTGCCAGTGAGATCTTTCCGGAGTTTCAATACTCTGAATCCCAGTGAATTCCAGAGAACTCAGCGATTTCCTTAACCGGTAACCATGGATTCCTATGTAATAACGAATTGAAAACGTTCTGAATGATGCGCATTCCGCTGATACGAATAAATTTTCCAAGCTTGTGTTTAATTATTGAAGGGCCAGTCACACTATAAGGCTTTGTAAAACCAGCTGAATAGCAGGGCCGAACAGGCCAATCGGCGGCGCGGCGCCTCGAGCCGCCTCACGCGCCTGACCCATGTCGATGAACACCTTCGTAGGCTGAACTGTTATATGCTCGGAATATTATCGCACAGCAACACACAGTCTGTTCACAATGGTCTCTTTTTTCGAAACCGTTGCAATAGTTATGACGCAAGGTTAATTTAATGAACGATGGCAGATAAATAAGTTGTTAAACAGGGAACTCTTTACTTACGCGTCAGGATCCCTACAACAGCTGAGCTCATACCGCAAACTAATGAGAACCATCCTAACACAAGTGCATTTGTTTGCAAATATTAAAAGTATTAATAAAAAGTGCGAATATTTCGTGTGATTAAGAGCATTTTACTCTATCCATACAAAAGATCAACGAAACAATTTGAAACGATTTTTTAGAAACGTGTTTTAATTTAAATCAGGCAAATGGTTATGAGCTATGTTCCTCACGCCATAATTCACAAAAGATCTTACGCATATATTTTGAGACGTTGTATTATATTTTTGACCATTTGGGTGTTCCAGTTTTCCCATCACCGAAGTAAGGTGGGGCGGGGGGCGACGCAGATTCTCGAATTGTATTAATCAGGTTTGGCGAACACACGAATGTGATCGGGGTAGGCAGAGAGGGATCGCTAATGCAGAAATAAAACGCTGTGGAATTTATTGTAAAGTAGCCATTTATTGCAGTACGAAGAGGACTGGAAATGGACATGGGAGTGGGAGGGGGATGGGGAGGGGGCTAGCTGCGCAGGGAGGCGCCCAGCCAGAAGCCGCCGGCGGAGGCCGTGTTGAAGCCCGTCCTGGCCAAGCGCATGGGCACGTTGGTGCGCCGCACGGGCACCAAGCGCACGCGCCGCAGCACGTGCACCAGCGCCACCTTGGCCTCCAGCAGGGCGAAGCGCTGCGCTGCACACGCCACATCACTCGGCATTACGCCTCATCGCACGTGACATATCGCATTACAATACATGACATCACAGGACTCACACTACAGGATAAGACAGGACACCGCATCACTCTATATGACATGACGGGACAGCACACTACACATTACGGGACGTTATGTATACTACTCTATATATGCATGTTATTATGTATATTACTCTACACGACATAACAGATCGGCAGATTCTGAATGGAAAGACGGACCGGAGGATGAAAAGAGGGGCAGGTAGATGAAAACGCAGGCCGACGGACGGCAAGACGGATAGACGGACCAAAAGACGGAAGGAAATGCGAGCAGACGGACGGAAAGACGGTCGAAAACCCGTGTACACAGACGGAAAGATGGGCAAACGGAGGGAAAGGCGAGCCTATAGACGGACGAAAAGACGAGCATTGGGAGGGAAATACGGAAAGAGGGGCAGATGGAGAGGAAAGACAGACAGACGGACAGGAATGCGGGTAGACGGGACGAAACAACGGGTAGATGGACGCAAAGACGGGCAGGCTGCTGGAGCCGAGGGCAGACGGGCGAAAGGCGCACATACCGAGGCAGACCCTGGGCCCCAGCCCAAAGGGCATGTAGGTGAAGGGGTGGATGCAGTGCTTGTTGGCGTCGCTGAAGCGCTCGGGGTCGAAGGCGTCGGGGCGCGGCCAGTAGCGCGGGTCGCGCTGCACGCCCATGATGGGCAGCCACAGCACGTCGCCCTTGCGCAGGCGCGCGGGGGCGCGGCCCTCGCCCAGCTCCAGCTCCACGTCCTCCGCGCACTCGCGGTCCACCGCTGGCGCCGGCGGGTACAGGCGCAGCGTCTCTGCGCACGCCCGCGCTCCGTCCACTCAACACGCTCTGCTCTCTCGTTCACGCACAAAAACACTCCACGCCCGCTCACACAAGGCACGCCCGCTCACGTATGCCACGCCCACTTACACTCACCACGCTCACTCACACACATCACACTCCGGCCTCTCAACACGCTCTGCTCTCTCGGTCAGGCACAAAAACACTCCACGCCCGCTCACACAAGGCACGCCCGCTCACGTAAGCCACGCCCGCTCACACAAGCCACGCCCACTCACACTCACCACGCCCACTCACACTCACCACGCCCAATCACACAAGCCACACCTACTCACAGAAGCACACCACGCCTACTTACACAAGCCACACCCACTCACACTCACCACTCCCAATCACACATCACACTCCGACCTCTCAAAACGCTCTGCTCTCTCTTTCAGGCACATCTCGTTCACAAAAACACTCCACGCCCGCTCACACAAGCTACACCCACTCTCACAAGCCACGCGCACTCACACTCACATTTCCCAATCACAAACATCACCCTTTGGCCTCTGAAAACACTATGCTCTCTCATTCATGCACACCACGCCCACTCACACAAGCGACGCCCGCTCACACAAGCCACACCCACTCTCACAAGCCACGCGCACTCACACTCACTTCGCCCAATTACAAATATCACACTCCGGCCTCTGAAAACACTATGCTCTCTCATTCATGCACACCACGCCCACTCAGACAAGCCTCACCCACTCACACCCACCACGCTCACCTCATGCACACTCACCGATGCAACTCGCCCCCGATCCACCACTCACATGCACATCCCGCACCAGCTTAAATGCACCGCGTTAAAAGAATGTGCGCGACTGGTAGTGAAAGGGCCTCTGTGCGAGTTTTCAAAGTGTCAGGCACCATTCGTCGCCTCAATCCACGCATCCCGCAAGCGCCAAAAGCTGCACCAGTTAGGTGAAGACCGCCTACCGCTGAGCACCATGTCGAGGTACTTCATGCGGCCGACGGCGTCGTAGTCGAGGTGGCCGCCGCTGGCGTCGACGGCGGCGTCAATCTCGCGGTGCAGGCGCGCCTGCGCGTCGGGGTGCAGCGCCAGCAGGTGGCAGCTGAAGCACATGAGCAGCGACACGGTCTCGAAGCCCGCGAAGAAGAAGAGCACCGCCTGGCCCATGATGTCCTCGTCCGTCATCGCTGCGCACGCGCCACGCGCCAACGCGCCAACGCGCCAACATGCAAAACGCGTTCGCTTTTCAACGTCACAACGCGAAATGCCGGCGAAGCCGTGAATATTTAGTTGTACGTTATAAGAGTTATGAGTTGTAATATGTTATAGATCCTGTCTGTGTTTCACGTGTTAGTATTGTTAGGCCACGCATACTGACTGAGCCAAAGGGTGTTGCTATCTATTCATACAAACTGAATATACACCACTTCAAATATGTAGCGTCTTAAAAATGCATGTACAACTTTCGATAAAGAATTCATAACACTAGAACATGTTTAGAGATGATGCAACGTATCCATCCTTTTACCTTCGATGATTTGTAATTGTACCATATCGCATTAATGGTATGTAATAATATAATATTGTACTTTGGAAATGTTCCTCCGTAATTACTTCACTGACACGTTGTGGTTACCTCTATACGTCGTACGGTTACCTACATAAAATAAATAAATATTAATTTGTTTCATGAAAATTATACAACATTACTAGATGTAAACATCCCATCGTCTGTAAACAACTGGTTGTATTACAACGTTGTGATTTGCTTAAATTATAGATGTACATATATTTTTAAGATAATATATTTTAAACCCAATATATATTCCCTGCGTGCTAGTGACAAGTGACTAAAATTTTTCATATGTAATACCTATTATTTTTAGAGTGAAAAATTGTAGTATTTTCTCGCAACAAATTAGAGGGAAAAAATTCGATTACTTTTGTGAAAATTTTCAAGTAATTGCGAGGCCTTTGCTTGACTAACTTAATGGACTTGACGCATGGGTCGTCCAGCGTTTTTTTTTCCTCGTGGTTTTTGCGCTGCAGTTGAATGCAAGTGCGGCGAAGGGCGCGACTCACTGGCGCGGGGCTGGGCGTCGGGCGCCTGCGGGCCCAGGCCGCCGTCACGGGCCTCCATCATGAGCTGCAGCACGTCCGGCCGGTAGATGCCTCTGGCCGCGCGCTCCGCCAGCGCCTCGCGGATCAGCGCGCGGAAGAAGGCGTCGGCCTTCGCGCCCAGGAAGGACAGCCGCAGCAGCTGCGCACACGCCCGCCCGCTGCGGTTGGCGTACTTATGATACGTCGGTGACAGGACTGGAACCTGCGATCTCGGAAGGATCTAATTAATGTAATCAACTAAAGGGCTTGGCGCAATGAGATAAACAACAACGACCACAAGCAAGCCTCTTCTCATTCAAAAGTTGATATTTTGATCTTTATGCTTACCTTTATACTGTTCATGTGTTTAATTATATGAGGTGACGTTCATATCTCCGTCTAAATTTAGAAACAAATGTCTATTAGGTATCTACTAGGTTGCATTGGCTTCAGACATTTTTGGAAATATATTTTATTGGCGATATATAAACTAATGTTGAAAATTGAAATTTAGTAACCATTCACATGCGTAACACGAATGTCATTTACCTTAACCAAGAAATCTGTGAATTTACGTTCCCACAGCAAAAATTAGCGGTTATGAACACCCGTCACTTCGCCCCAAGACCCGAACTGTACATAAACTCCGTTGTAAATAAATTTCAACTCTATTGATGGTCGCTACACGATTGAAAAGATCGTTTCCAATAAAATCCTGACACCTACAAAACACTTGTTTCTTAATTTATATGTCTTCATCTTCATTAAGGGCTTAGCGCAAGCCTTGGGATGCTTTGGACCCGTGTAAGAGCACCTCTCAGAAAATCGGTTCGAGCTGAGCATAGGGACGTTGTATAGGTGTTGTGACGTCTATAATTATTTCATAGGGACGTTGTATGTGGTGGTAGAATGCCCTACCACCCTCCCAACCCATCCTCACCCCCACCAACAGCACTACCCTTCAAAAGTTCTTCCAAGTCTAGAAAGGAACACCCTTTACCATCTCTGGCCACGTGCAGCCAAGATGGGCTGAGGGGGTCCTCTCCGGGAGGAACGGACGGGACGGAATGTCCTGGGAACACGCGTAGAGCGGAGGTGTACGGTACCCCAGAATAACTTGGCCAAAATACCAAGAACTACCCAAGGAAAATGAAATTCTACTAAAAAAGCAATATTATTCTGCAAAATCGTCTTGTGAACTTACTATCGTGATGCAAATGTAAATCTTAATGCGAATTACTCAATAAATTGAGAGGAACTATGTAATCACAATGACAAAAATATAACAAAATTATTTAAAATTTACATAATTTATAAGCGAATTGTTAATAAAATATGTTTTTTCATAAAATAATGGAAGAACGGAAGAACCAAGGGCGTTAGCGAATGGGATGACATAAGTGAAACAAAAGAACAAGGCGTTTATCAGTTAAAAGCGATTAAAGATAAACGATTTAGAGCTGAAACTGTGCCGAAAAGACGAACTGTATGATATCAGGATTTAACATTATTGCAAGAGCCAAGGGGGAGATTGAAAGATGTTGCCATATAGGACGGTCACGTATGGTGAGCTCGCCATTCGAACTTTCTTTTGAATGTTTTAGGTGATAACTTAAGTAAATAGTGAAGTAAATGACATTTTCGAAATAATAGCAATGAATAGACAAGGAGTTTAAGAAAGTGTTAATTTAAATTAAAATTAATAAAATTATAAATTCATAACTTTCGATTGTGCTAAAGGATGGAGCCTACCTATCGTAGCTAGGAAGAAAGTGTACCCGAGGAAAAAAGGGGAAATTCACCGTCTAAGAGAACTGTGCATTTTTTCGAAAGGAAAGTCAAAAATTACAATTAACAGATATGATAAATTTTTAAAAGGCCAAATATTGGTTTAGTAATTAAAATAAAAATATAAACATGTGCAAAATGGCCATTTAGTAGTTTTAAATTATGTAAAGATTGCACAGATCAGCACACGAATGAAATAAATGTTTTTTCAAGTTTACTTATCATAATTATCGAAATGAATGTGGTATGTTAATGCTTCTTATCTTTAATAATAATTGATAATTATATAACCGATTATCTGTGTAAGGTTGAAATAGATCGAATCTGTGTTAGTACTGTAATTAAATGGCGTAACGTATTGTTGCGCTTCAGAAATTATTAGAAGGCTTGTTAGTAATTTCAGTAATATTTTAGACAGTTTTTTCATCCATCTTAAATTCCCGGATGATAAATTTTGTAATGGCCAGGACCTCATAATGAAAAGTGGATTTTCAAGCCGCAGTGGATTTTAATGATATTAAATATAATTTGATAGATTTCGTAATGTATAGATATGGTACTAAAAATTTGATAACTTTGGTATTTGGTTTATTTTAATAGATTAATTAGTATTATTATTAAATCGAAAATTATATACCTGAACTCGCGGTAATATTGATATTAATAGAGAGATAAAGACGAAAAGGTTTTAATGTGTACATTGTAATATTGTAAATTGCAAGTTATTTTTTACCTATTTCTTCTAAGTTAGCATTTTGTTTAACTCGTTTTGAGGGAAAAAAATGTTCCCATTATACAAGGTTCTCTGTTTTCCGTTGTTCTCTTTCCGGATCATCCCGTAACCTGGGTTGAGTATTTGTTGTGAACATATGTTTTGGGTCTGATTCGTGCCAAAGAAAACGAATGATCGTGTCCAGTGAGTAACTTGTAGAAATGGTTCGCATTCACTTCCCGTACGTTTGCAAACTTCATTCCCATCAGCTCTTCGACAAAATTTATGTTGATTCGTACGATATTTTCAGTGACTATATCGGAATGAACAAAAACATCTAATACAAAAATAAGACCTTGAGGAGGGAAACAGGGAAAGAGGCAACATATCTATTGTAACACCGTACACATGATCGTCTTCAGAAATCTATCCAGAAAGGAAAAAGTGCATGAATCATGGAATGAGTTTTGAAAAATGTCTTCGCGGCTGATAAAAGTAATATTTCGGATTTTTGCAAATACCTGTATGTCCGTAAATGTAAATAAAATGAAGAAATTTGAAATGCAGATAACACAATGTTTACAAAAGGCCGGACTAAAGTGGGCATGCTTAATATTTTTTGCATATCGGTATTTAAAACTAGTGTTTCACACATTTCAATGTTTTGATCCTCTACAAATAATTCAAACTATAAAACAAATTCTTTAAAAACGTGTGTACTGTGGTAAATGGTAAATTGAGTGGACCATTGAAATATTGACAGATATCAAAATTGAAGGAGAACCTATTCCCCCAAACTTACAAAGGCTGTTTAGTGTTTCTGTTAACAACAGGAGTGTGGCGATAGACTGAAAATCCGCTATCAGTGTACCGATATTCACAAGTGTCTATAAAAGTGAAAGTGAGTAATTATCGGCCGGTGTTCAGCACTGTGTGAATTCATGGAACGCACTGTTGTCAATCCGTCACGGTTCAAAATCGCGCCGTCGGCGTTCGACCGCCGCGTGATTCGAACCCTAGACCACAGGTGGCGGAGTTCGCGGTGGCAGGGCCAGCAGGCTCCGAAATCGAAGGGTATGCTCAGAGCTGCCCTTCTGAAACTAGATACCCTGCTGTACGGCGTGTGCTTTTCCGAGTTTGGCTTCTGTCGTGAGTAGACGTATCATGAGTAGACGAAACTTATGTATTGGGATGACTCTGAATGGATCCGCAAATTCTCTGTTGTTCGGGATCGTGATTTAACGTGTAATTCAGATAGCATTCACCGAAATGACAGAACACTGATTATTTGTAATGTGAGACGATGCAGTAAGCTATAGTTTCTCGTGTAGTAATGAATGTAGTACTTAGAGAGTTGACCTGTGTGAATCCCGAACGTTGCCTGTGCGACAAAGGATTGAACCGTTAAACTGCTAATTCTTGTTGACGAAAACAATCTATACCCGCACTGATATGAGATAGTGCGAGTAATTGAAAGCATCTTGTTAATCCATGTACCAAAATTTTGGTGGTGGCTACATAGAGAGGATCGAATTTCAGCCGTCATCTGTGAATCATTAGAAAAGTGAAAGAAGTGGAAAATTACGCCAGCAATTATTGAAGTTGGTACCATTTATACGTCAACGAACCATAATTTTCAATCGGTGATTTAAAGAACACTGAAGACATTATTTTAGAGTGTCGACGTTAAACTACGCTACTACGCTGTGTGAAGTCTGGAAAAGTACTTCGTCGCCTTCAAGAAAGAAGATAAGATGTCACGCTGTCACAAGCCTCCTTCCTGCCAGCGAGGTCTGGCGCGTGGCTATGCACAAGGGCGTCACCAAATATGAAGGTAAAGTTGTGCAGAAGGAATTAGTTAACCGGTAAACAAAAATATCTTTTTACACGTTTATATGTTTATTATTTGTGACAGAGCTTATAACTTGTTCGGGCTGTGGCGGTGTCCTAGTGGAGAGAGACGCTTAAAGGTGAAAATCCACCGCATACCAAAGTTTCGGTCAGGGCCGGATATACTCTGTGGAAGAGAAACCTCCCGGGGAAAAACATTCACTACGCAAATACGGAACTACAAGTAATTTATAAAGGATCATAGCTGTGTTCCGATACATCTATAAATCAACTAACTTTTATATTTCTAACTCGAGTCGTTCCTTTGGCTAAGAAAATATGGGATCTGTTTAGGACGATTATAGTGGAAGGATTGAATTTTATCTGCCTTTTAGTCAAAGTTCTTTAACATGCGACATGCATCAATAAAAATATTTTAGATGTGCCTCATTGCGCACTCGAGCGTGGAAATCTACTTACTACGGCTAGTTTCGGAGCCAGCGAAAATAGCAACATGATGATTCCTCGCAGGCCCCCGAAGTTGGTGATGGTTTTCCCCATTTGGTAGAATTCGTTGTCGGGTTGGCCGAAGGAGTCGCATTCGACCCCGAAGGCGCTTGTGGCGATGACGTCATTGGCGAAACGCGTGAAGAAGTCTTTGAACTCCAACTCATAGACTCCATTAGCCTCCTCTGAAACATCAACTTCATTCATTTTCTCTATATATACAAAAAAATATACGTAATAAAGCATAGTCGATAAAAATATTAGACCTAATTACTCTTTCTTTTTTCTTAGTAAAGTAAAGACAAAATACTGTGATCATTGCATTACATAGTCGACTCCGGTTATAGTGAACTTCTGGAGACTAACATTTTGATTCACTATATCAGAGGTTCACTATATCCGAGAATGTAGAATTAAATACAATTTCTCCACAACGATTAATTTGATTAATATAGAGATGCAGCAAAACTAAATATTTCATTACATTTGACCTTAAATAATTAATTATTTTCAATTGTTCGCATCGTATATTTTTTCAGTAGCAATTTCTCTAGATCCTTCTCTAGAGTTCATGCGCCCATGCTTGATTCTGCGTTGTCTACCGTCTCTAAGTATGCAGTTTTGATTCCCATCAATGCTTCTTTTTGACTGTTAGAACAGCGTCCCATTCTCCGAAGATTCTTTCACTTGCCTAATAACTTATGAGATCGTGCCTATTGTTAGAATTTGTGACACTAGGACAATATTATTTTTCCAGGAGGGAATTAATTTCCAGGATGCTGTTTTTTTCTTATTTACACTATAGCCGAAGTTCTCAGTTCATTATAACCGAGTCTTCTTATGTTTATTTGTAATGCAAGTGAAACGGGACCAGTGACCAGTGAAGTTCACTACAACCGAAATTTCACTATACCCGATTTCACTATAGATGGAGGCGACTGTAATGGTTTAAATTTTCTTACACGTGTAAAACTATAATAAACATAAGAATGTACGATGAGACAACGTCTAGAGTAATTCGTCACCTAGAATTCAAACTATCCATGTGTACTTGCAATTCATGGGAAGTAGGCTTCAGAAGACTTATAACTAAACGAAGTTATGTCATGACTTCTATGACTTGTAGTCTTTCAGTACAGTTCGCTTTTTAGAGAAGGAAAAGGTTTTTCACCACTGTGACAAGAGGGGACATAGAATGGAAATGGATTGCTGAAAAAAGAATTTTTCGACAACATTCTTTTATTAATTTCAACTATAAGTGGCTACTAAAATGAACTAAAAACGTACCTTATGATTCACATCGCAAAAATTAGTTTAATTATTATGATATTACAGTCCATTTCTTTAACTCAAGACGTGTGGAAGGAAGGATTTGATAAGGAACGTTCATCGCGAACAATGGTTTAAGTTAAATATTGTTTGGACAATGGTTTAAGTTGAATGTTAAGTGTTGTTTCAAGAGATAGAATAAAAAAGCTATAGGTTTTGAAAATATATTTTATTAATGGTCCTCAACGAAAATGCATGCTTACATTGTGCGAAAAGTGAAAACTATAATTTACTGTTACCACAAAACGTGTAATACCGTACGCATGCGCTGCCCACTAGTTTCAAAGCGACAGAGCAAAGTCCCCAATCATCTGTATTCATTCTGCCGCTAGTCGATAGAGGGCGTGTGCTGGCGGGAAGTCCACCGCCCGGTTGAAAGGAAGCGCCACAGAGGCAAATGTGGCAGAAAGGGAGTGCCGTTGTGCGAGTCAAGAGACTGACCACAAAATTCATATCGTCAGTGCAAAAGACAAGTGACAGATCTAAAAAGTTGCCCTTTTGCTGCAGGAAGATTTCATCGTCTGGAATCATTTATTTCGCGGGCGAAGACGAAGTGTTCACTGTTGTGGGCTTTCATTGTATTAACATGGAATAATATATGTTAAGAACCTTGTTCCATGGTCTTAATGTAAAAATATATTTCATTGTAGTTTATGTAAATTATAATGTTCTGTCACCACTGCACAAAAATAATAAAAATGTCTAGCTAAATATTTGTATCAATAATTTTCAATGCGTATAAGAATTGAAAAACATCTATGTAGACTGTGGCCATGTGAGAGGTATCTGTGATTTTGTTAAATTCCCAGGAACTGCAAAATCCGATAACAATGGAACTGTTTCGTGTTTGGCAACCTGCAAATACTCGATTCTGATATTCCGCCTACTCTCATACTGCGTGTACCTTCTGCAATCTCCTACTCATTCCGTCGCGTGTTTCATTATAGAATAGAAACGTCTTTTAAATTATCGATATGTAAAGAACTGTATAAAATACAGTATAATATAATAAGTTATTCTATACTCATGAAGTCTGTTTTTGTTAAATTATTTTGTTAAATTTTTTACGTTTTATGCGAAACTATTTTGTTATTCTTATACATTGTGTAATTATTTTTTGACAACCATTTTGTCTAGGTTTATTCAGTACATTTTGATTGCCAGAAGTCTAGATCTATACATTTCATAGCAATTTTAACTACATTTATGATTTTTACAAACAGAAAAGTTTCTGAACTTATTTACTTACATAACTAACGACGATTGTTTTAGTTAAGTTTGTCCTTTGATTTTTTCTTGTACAAACGATATAATGTCTAAGGGTACACGCATATTTTCTCTGCATTCGGGTCTCCAGTGCTAATTGTAGATATTCTTAGATAAATGGGGGATCAGCCGTAATAGGAGAGTGGATCAGTCCTCATTTCGTCGCGAAGAATTAACTCTGCAAACAAGATGGAAAAGCAAGGATCGTTTGCGCCTGATTGCATAGTTCGTTGCTTCGGAATATGGACTAGCAGGATCAGGGACCTGGGAATAAGAGAAGAGAGGAAACCATCGATTAGAGCAATTGACGAACCTCCATCTCGGCCAGAGTCAGAGAGTACCTGATGTATGATCCTCCGTGAGCCAGGTGGGGTTTGCTATTTCCCAATTTTAAACTTGTGTTACATTTTAAACAACGGCGCACGGGAAATGCCGCTCTACAGTGACAACGACTTCATCTTCAGTTGAAGCGCCTCCAGTACAGCGAGAACAAGTGAAAAAACTTTCCGGAATCACCAAATATAGATGGTTCAGGTTGTACGCGTAGTGGTCAGTACCAGTGATATTTTAATTTCCTTAACTGTTTTAACTTTTGGTACGCTCTCACGCGCGCTAGGTAATATTTCCCTCATTTCGATACTTCCGGCGGAAATGTTTTAGGATTTCATGAATATGAAAAACATTCTTCTATCATATAGATATTAAATTATTATTTTCAGTAAATTCCTATGGATTATGGAGAAATACTCCCTAGCATATTTGATTCATATTTGAAAGTATTATACAATTAGTAACTACATTATGGAAGATTATTTTTTATTAAGATTAAGTCTTAAAATAGTTTTCATAATATAATTCTATTTATTTGTTGTTCAGTCCCATATTTTAAATGAAGGACAACCAGAATGATAAGTGTAAAAATGTCTTCACAATTTTATTCACTTCGACGTGTCGAAGACTGTTTTGCCTCCTTCATAAGGAACAACTGAAAATTTAATTACAAAATTTTGTATGATGCCAAAATAATTTACACAAAATTAACTTGCAATTTGTATGCACTTCATTGCAATGATTGTCAGTTTAATTATATTTCTATATAATTCAAAATCAATTATGTGCACAAGTGACTTTGGATTTACAAAATGAGTGTGCAGGACGCTCACCGGGCAGCTCCCGGCAGCGCTGCTCGAGGAAGCGCGCGCTCTGGTGGCCGCACTGCGAGATGAGGTCGAAGAGTGCGCGCATCTTGCTGGCGGTGAAGGCGGGGCTCATGGCCGCGCGCAGGTCCTTCCAGCGCCGGTCTGCAAGACACACTTGCATTGACTTGTCATTCATTTTGATACTTATACTTATCGATTCATTATTTTGCGATCCGGGCACGACAACTGCTAAGGTTATTAGTGCGTGATATGACGCGGGAGGTGGGGGTGTTTCTCCTCACGAAAACGTGAGTATGAGCGCCAATGTACACGAAACAAAGAAGAGTTGTAGTGTACCAGATCCGTGATACTGTAACAAGGGAACGTGTTGAGGAAGGGAAGTGTAACAAAGGAACTTATGCGTACTCATCCGCTTCCGGGGTTTCTCTACTCCAGGAATCTCCGCCTGCGGAATGCCGCTCTAACCGGGACAAGCCCTGACTTGGAACACGACGGATTTTTCACCCATTATATTCACGTACTAGATATAGTGATCTCCAATGTTACCAAAAAATATTGTAGTTTTTGTTAGTAATTTTTAAGTTTATTCTTTATTATATTGTGCATTACATCGCCGAGATGAACTTTGGAACAGGTTTACAAATCAAAAGGGAGCGAGGAAGCGCGAGATGAGTGCCATTAAATGCAATAATAGAATCAAATCATTGTATGGACACGAAGACAAAGAAAAAAATCGGGGAGAGTGGAAGAAAAAACTTAACGTTCAACGTCAATGAACATTGAATGTTATACTTCTTGAAACGCGTGTCCCATGTATTATTTTAAATTATTGTAGCATAAAAATAACTTTTAATTAAATTCATTGATTGATGTATTTAGCATAAAACGAAATGAGCCAGGATTTGACATTCAAAGAAACTGACTAGACTCAGAACCGTGTGTGACGATTTTCGACTACGAAATGTGCAGGTATAAACAATTTTTATATAATAGCTACTACTGAGTGTTACGAGTTATTACAGATATTTGTCCAGCGTGACGCACTTTATCGCATTCAGCTCCAACCCACTTTACAGCCTGGGCGAACTGCGACTCTGGGGTTTATCTGAGAATTTCCAAGACACGAGTGGAATTTAATAAGACTGTTTCTCCAACGAAATGTGAATTTAATAAGCCGATTAGGTTGGTTGTTAGTGATTCCGGGCGCGCCAACTACTGCGGCCATTAGTCTCGTAAGTGTAGTGCGTGAGGAGGCGGCGATCATCCCCCGCTGGATGGCGAGGTCTTGTGCAGACTTACCGGGGCTTCCCTCAAAAGGTATCTCTCACCACCCCTACCGCCCCAGCCCGGTCACGCTTTAAGCTCCCGACTGATCTCCCAGTGTGGTAGTATAGTGCACGTAAGTGTGTGTGTGTGTGTGTATGTGTGTGTGTGTATGTGTGTGTGTGTATGTGTGTGTGTGTGTATGTGTGTGTGTATGTGTGTGTGTGTGTGTGTGTGTGTGTGTGTGTGTAAGTAGTTGGTGAGGATAGGACAAGGAAGAGGAAGGAAAGATTGCGCATGGTCCGTGGCCCATTTGTTACGGTACTGCTCCGGAATTCGTCTGACATTGATCGAAGAAACTACGGAAACCTACTGATTAGAAAAACCAGCCTCTAGAATATTCCTCCAGTCAGAGACTGAATTCGACCAAGCCATCGTCGGTACTCGAACCTAGGACCTCCCGGTCAGAGACGCTGTAGTGTCATCAGCTGATGAACTGAGACAGCCCTCCCGGTAAGCCGATTACTGAAAGTACATCTTACAAATTAATCCAATATCTTTTCGAATTGGTAATCAGTTAAATTACTACAACATTCATCTCCTCCCACCAAATGTATGACAGATTGCAACAATCAAAAAATGCAATCGAAAAATCTAACAATCGAAAAATGCCATCTCACGTCTTCTCCGTATTCATGTGATGCGACATCATGTTAATATACCACTTTAGTTGAACAATTGCGAATCCAGAGGATGTGGCATTATGGGAAGTTTGTGTTAGTACCATCCTATTGAATGTGTTCGATTAATCGAAAGTCGAATTATGAAACGTTGGAATGGAATTACGGACTTTTTGTTCAGCGTTGCTTACAGCAGATCGACAGCAATATTTCGGGCTATTTATACCATCTGACAGTCGCAACGCGAACTGCGCATGCGCAGTGCTATAGGCTGAAGCTAAACTGCTTCTCGACGTGCACAAAGTCTCTAATGCAATTGGATTCTTGGAGAAACATTTTCCCAGAATGGCCGCCTCCTTCTCCGCAGTTGGCGCGACGTCCGCGAATTAGGTCAGTGAGGACACAGGAGTCTGTGATGTGATGAGAATGACCTCATCTGACACACGCGAGGCGAGGCGACGCGCGTGGATCTATTGTGGGCGGTGGGTGCGGCGCTGGCGGGGACAACGCCACACTCGCGCTGGAGCGTGGAGCACTCTGCTGGTCACTGACGGCAATTTGCACTTTTATCATGTGCCTCGCTTTTCTTCTTACGTGCTCTTTCATTGATTAATTAATAGAATGTGATTGTATGGTCGGATCAGCTAGTACAGACTTGTTACTTTAAATGCTGGTGGTTCACAAAACTAAGGCGAGGCTCTTCACAGAAATACGTATATGTTAGGACGGTCCAATGGTCTCCGTCAACCTGGGGGGGGAGGGCGGGGGGAGATACCTGGTTGTGGAAAACCTCGTCATCCTAACTATCTAGCGGGGGAAGAGGACTGCCATATCCCAAGGGGAAAACATACACGAGACTAATGACCTTAGGAGTTGACGCTCTCGGAATCACTAATCAATCAAACAATCCGGCATAGTGCTTAAAGCGACGGGGGAAAGCAAGAAACCACAAAATTGAGCAGTCGGCCTACGAATTCTACTTTATGTGATGCTGCCACAAACTCGCTGACCAAATATTTCCTGCATCCTCCCACAATCGAATCTGCAACCTCTCAATCGTTGGACCTTTAGGCTTCCATGTTTTGAAGTTATTTTTCCTTCCCCTTATTACTACTCCTTCCTTCTAGTTCCCATTATCATTTTTGTCTCCTCACTCTCTCATCTTTATTCTCCATTTTCCCATATTTTATACTAGTTTATTGTTATCATTGTTCTTGTTTTGCTGCCTTCTTGAAACACAAGAGCCATTGAAAACTCAAATTGCAAACGTTTGGCATTTACGCCCTCCCGTTTGTTACGGCTTCTTACACTTAAACTCCTCTGTGATGAAGGCTCCATTTTCAACTCTATCCGTCAGTTGAAAACACAAGTAACATAGTCAAAATTTGTAGGAAAAATAATTTAAAAAAATAAAAATGTATAATTTTCTTTTTATTATTCAACATCATTATTAATTATCATTTTAAGGTGCAATAAAATGGTGTAACGAGTTTATAAAACTGAAAGTATATGGCTTATTTAAGTGTCGGTTATTGTTTATATCTTACCCTTGTGAAATTCCTTCCAAATTTCTCTGATTGGTAGTTTGCAAGAAAACGATGAGACGATGTCTAGCTTCTGTGATCCGCCTAAATGATGGCTTCTCAATAATATTAATAATTTTATAAGTAAAGCTTACTATACGTTTCAAATCTAGGTTTGTTTTCAAACTTGTGTTTCAAACAAATGTTTTCAAACTGACATTAAAATGCGACTTATGTTATAAATAAGTACCCCTTGCAGTCGATTATTGAGAAACAGATTCTCCCTAGACAAGTTCTGACCTTATTTCTCGCGATGTCCAAGTTTGTTGAATTAGCTTGACTTGGCTTGGGCACAAAAAATGGGGTCATGGTAAAGACCTACTCCGGGTTCCGTCGCTTCAGATGTCACCTTGTTAAAATTCTGTATTGCTTTCTGGCTCTTAATAAAGGTCATTGTAATTTGAAATAAAATTGATTTATTTACAGAACATGTGTGAAAAGGCGAGATTTTGTTATAATAAAAAAGTCAATTTTGGAGACGGTACATTGCTAACAATTATCCAAATAAAACATTACGAAACCCTAATCATTTGAAAATACAATATCACGGTTTATAAAATACTAAGTATCTGCGTCTCTATGAGTATTACCAAAAACTTTAGCACTCTGAAAACGTTATCGACTTCATCAGTTAACTAAAAGAAACCTTGAGATTACATCGCACAAAAATAAAAATTATTAGAAACTAACTGTCGTTCAGTACGTACTCTCCAAGAATAATGATATAAGGAAAGTTAACAAATTTTGGAGGAGTTCAATCAGTATTCATTGCAGACAAGGAGTTTCTGAAAATGTAATTGAAATCTTTTATATTTACCAAGATCTGGACTGAACGGCGAACTACTGCAGAAAATTCTGCTATTCATCTTAACTTAACGAGATAATCAACATCATTTATTATATTTACAGAACATTCCTTGCAAATGGTCATACGTGTCAAATGAGTATAGCATTTATATACACTCATCAATCTTTAAATTTAAAACACACTCAACTTCGAACTTTAAAAAATACCTCTCTTCGCCCTACTAGCAATCATCTTAAACTGACGCTTGCTCGTGCTAGGGAACGAAACTTCTTTCGTCAGATCGATTCAAACCCGTGCCATTAAACGACGTAGTAACCAAATGGCACATGATAACAGTTCATTCCTTCCTTAAGATTTTAAAATTTAGTGGTTATACAATGAAACTGAGTAATAATAGGAAGTGGGAAGAAATTTAGAACTCGCTACCATCTATTTAAGGATAAAATTACGATTTTTTTTGAAAGCTCAAATTTCTTTTTACACGAAAATTTTTGTATTTTAAAAATTGATGGCTTAATGCTCAAACTTTGTATGTACACTAATAGTAATTTTTGAGTTAATATCATTTTTGGAGAACTCTCCCTCTTATCTAGCGTACAAGGATTGTATGTTTACATAAGAGGGATTATGCTTTTTCCCCAGAAAGCATTTACACGTCACAAGTTCCTTTAACTTGAACTCTACTGTAATATTACAAGGCTGGGCTTCCTGTAGCAGAGTAGCACTCGCACGGCATGGGGATGAGGGAATCTAAAAATAGCCACAAGAAACAATAAACGCCACGCCGGTCCAGAGGGATTTCCAGTAGAGGGAGTAACCTGGCGCCAGGATATGGCAAGGCGAGCCGATGTCGCTGGACCCGCATCGCCAGCTAGATTTTTGTTATTGCAAAACCAAAAAGCGATAAAATCGGATATATTGGTGAAAATATCTAGTTTACAAAATATTATGACAACTTGTAACATCATATTATTAAAAAGTAGTTATCTGGTGACATTATATCGAAAGGATTTTAATTTCCAAACAATACATTCAGATACATACTAGATAAATGAAAAATGGCCCAAAAATGCCATTTTCAAGGCATCTGCGTGCCCTCTTAAGTATTGTTAAAAACAGGTGTTATTGTGATCAAGTTTCTTATAAAAAAAGAAGTTAATTTTGAGAGGCCAGTCGGGTAAAGAAAACTGTTATGGCCCAGCCTTCATATAAGTCAGCCACCATACTGCTCTTTGTGTATATTTCGCGAATGTTCGTTCCCGCCTGAGATATGGCGTAATATTCTGGGAAAATACATCTTATTGCTTCCAGACTTTTAGATTACAAAAAAGAATAGTACAAATAATAAGCAAATTCTACCCTCGTGATTCTTGTAAGACTCTCTTTATTAATTAGGTATTTTACCATTACCTTGTCTCTTGATATATGAATAAGTGTTTTTTGCCAAAAATGACTTAAGGGCGGGAATATATTTTCAGCAAACGCCGATGTTAATAACCACAACACTTGACGTAGTAATCATATTCAATCATATTCATAAGGTGACAGTATCAACAGCTCGCTACATAAAATTCACATACAATACATGTACATTATTTTACACCTTGCCAGATGACGATGAAATTCTATACAAAAGTTCCAAGTAAAATCTTTTCTGCTGCACAACAGTTTCTATGCAATTTGAGACTATACCGAGCATCCAAAGGAAAGGAATATTAATTTTAACATTGAAATATAAAGTATTATTTACTATTTGGATTGTATAATTTTAAAGTACCTGCAACAAGTATTGTACTTCAGGTTCATGGTCAATGACTCCCATTTTGATCAGGTTTTCGTCAAGTTTCCCTGATTCTTGAGCAAATACTGAAATGGTCTCTTGTTTAGCACCT